TGTGTTGTTGTTGATGTTGTGTATTGAGGGGAGCTACGTGACTGTCTCCTGACTGTCGTCCAAGGGACCTTGTGAGCTGTAATTTACAGGCACAGGGACAATAGCTTTGTCACAGCCTGTCCCTTCGCACATCTCCCCGCCTTCTGCTTTCTCCAGCGCTTGGTACCTGAAGAGAGATTTTTTTCCTGCCCATCCCTGCCCGTGATACTGGATAGTTCCTCTGGCAACAGTCACATGGCTCCAATAAAGATCTCAAGATGCCTTTTAAACTCACACAATGGGTTGACATTTTAAAGTCCTTTGGGGAAATACAAGCGTGTGAGTCGGGATCGTGTTTCACATGTGTGCCGGCTAAGCGAAGAAAAGAATATGTTGAAGATGCCGAAATGGTAACCGAGGGCTACCTGACAGTATTTGAGTTTACATCCCTCTTTCATTTGTGGTCCTTGGTTTTCTCGATCCGTAAAAAGTGTGATGGTGCGTTTATCCTTATCAGCAAACATCAGGTAAAGGGGCAAGTTTGATGAGTCTCTAGATCAGTGGTTCTCAACCTCTGGGTCGCGACCCCTTTGGCGGTCGAACGGCCCTTTCGCAGGGGTCGCCTCAGACCATCCTGCATGTCAGATATTTACATGACGGTTCATCACAGTAGCAACATGACAGTGATGAGGTAGCAACGAAAATAATTGTATGGTTGGGTCACCACATGAGGAACTGTATTTAAAGGGCAGAAGGTTGAGAACCACTGGGCTAGATGAATGGTTCCCAGGACAGATCTGTTACGATGATTCTTCATGAGAGAATTCTTTGGTTGGATAATTGTAGGATATAATGTATGCTGTATCTTCTTTTTTGGAGTTCACACAAAAAATGCATTAGTATTTTTAAGGTTCTGAGAAGTTCTGAATAGGTTTGTGTATGTGTGTGTGTGTGTGTGTGTGTTTTGAGGGAGAGAGAGAGAGAAACATTGATTTGCAATTCCACTCATTTATGCAGTCATTGGTTGGTTCCTTTGTGCGCTATGACTGGGATTGAACCTGCAACACTCCAACTAACTGAGCCTCCTGGCCAGGGCAGGAATATCATTTTTTTAAAAATATTTCTTAACCCAACACTTGTGAGGATATCTGACTATAAACTCCCCATCCTTTTTTTTTAATTTTAATTTTTTTGCAGGCAACCTCAATTGCAGCAGCTTAGAATGCGCTATGGAGATGCGTGTTCTAGATTAAGAATTCCCAGAGGTTTGGATTTAATGAACAAGTAAAATTAAATAATATATTAGGGGACTGTCATAGAGTCGCTAACTTTATTTTGCCAAATAAAGACATAAAAAAATACTGTAATCTGATATTACTCTAATTTATTAAAAGGAAGGACATTTTATTACCGAAAAAAATTTAGAAGAGGCAATGCAAAATAAACTTGGAAAAAAGTAGATATATTTAGCTTCATAAAAAAATGTCAACATCATTTTTCTTTTTCTTGCCCCATTTTAAACTGATGAGAATTTTGTCGGGAACATATAACAGTAGGCATTGATGTTGCCTGTGGAGCATTCTTTCCTCTTCCGTTAGGTATCAGAACCCCCACTTTTCTAGAAGGAGAATTCATTCAGTGTGGTTTGTTTGGGGTGCTGTGGGGGCTCACTGTGCTTCCTGGTCAAAGGGGTGGGGGTGTGACTAGGGCTGACCCAGCGGAGCCCACCATCCCCTGACCACAGCCTTCGGATGTCAGCTTCCACCTTTAGTTCTGTGTGGAGAGGATTTTTTTTTAAAGAGGAGCAGTTTTGAAAGACACTGTGGCTGCCCGGCCGGCGTGGCTCAGTGGTTGAGCATCAACCTATGAACCAGGAGGTCACGGTTCGATTCCCTGTCAGGGCCCAGGCCCTGTTGTGGGCTCGATCCCCAGTAGGGGGTGTGCAGGAGGCATCCGATCCATGATTCTCTCATCATTGATGTTTCAGTCTTTCTCTCTCTCCCTTCCTCTCTGAAATCAATAAAAAATATATTTTAAAAAGTTCATCCTTTGGCCCTGGCTGGTGTGGCTCAGGAGGGGAGCCAAAAGCTCGCTGGTTTGCTTCCCGGTCATGGCACACGCTTAGGCTGTGGGTTTGGTCCCTGGTCGGGGTGCATGCAAGAGGCAACCGATAGATGTTTTTCTCTCACATCGCTGTTTCTCTCTCTCTCCCTCTCATTTCCTCTCTCTCTCTCTAAAATCAATAAAAACATACTTTTTAAAAAAGATGAATCCTTTGTCCAAACAGATAGGTTGGCTCAGTGCAACACGTGTATGGGACTGGATTGCATGTCATTTTCCTTGCAGGGCTTGCCTTGTGTGAGCTATGGAGCCTGCTTTCCCCCATGTGGGAACCTCACCTGTCAGTCCAGTGAGAACCTACTCACCCATCAAGGCCAGTTGAAGTGCCTTTCCCAGTTGCCAGAGGCAGGAACGATTTCTTTCTTCCCAAGATTTCCACCGTCCTTTCTCCCACTCATATCCACATCCATAACCACTTTCCTACTCTGGTTACTTATGGAAATGTCTTTCTGCCTTCACTTGATTGTGGCCTCTTAATATCACAGTGCTTCCTAGAACATCATAAATATTCAAAGAATTTAATGAATAAACAAACCAATTGACTAGTTTCCCTATTTAGGAAGTGACTGCATAGTCACCTGGTTGGACGAGGAATTTTCGCTTGCCTATTCCTGTGACATCATGTGGGCCACAGCCAAAAAAAGGTCTGGAGACAGCCTACCAAAACTTAATTCTGTAGAAACCTATAGGCAAATAATAGAGAGTGTATTTATTAGAGAGCCTGGTGAATTTAAAATCGATGGAGTGCTGTGGCCCGTTGATGTTTAAAATTTGATATTTAGATAGCATTGCATTCAAGGCTCATACCATAAGTACATTCGGATTCTATCTAGACAACGCTATCTGATTGTTGGACAGTCTCGAGTTTCATAGATTGAGGGGTGGATGTAGACAGAGAGCGCATGCGCTGACGGAGATAATTTGGGCTTTCTATATTTGGTGCTATCGTGTGGTCTAGACTTTGCATTTTAAGGCCCACAACTCAATAACCGTTGGAAATGTAAGCGTGTGGAAGAAAAGAGCAATTCTTTCGCAAAGCAGAGAAGAAGCAAACGCAGGCTTGGTGGTGTGAATCTGGCATCTGGCAGCGAAGACGTTTGTAGAAACAGCGTTTGACAGTCTTTTATCCAGAGCAGGCCATGACAAAAAAAGTAGTCCTGTTTGGAACGGTCGGCTTTCTGCACAAGCGTGGACACCTTCCGGGGGCTGCTCACAGGAGCTCCCCAAATAGATGTGCAAATGAGGACATGGCGCGGGGTGCCTGGATCGTGCATAAGGTCGGGGTACCGAGAAGTCTACCTGCGTCAGGGTCACCTCATACATATGTGTAAACCTAGTTCCCCTTCTCTTTCTTCAGGGGAACACCTTAGGCTATGAGGTTGCACACAACACTGGGCAATCCCTTTGGTTTTCCTTCCTCTCCTCAGAGCTTCCTGAGGAGCTAAGTAAATCCATCTTCTCAAAATGCATTTAGCCCTGGCCCGGTTCGATTCCAGTCAAGGGCACATGCCCGGGTTGCGGGCTCCATCCCCAGTGTGGGGCGTGCAGGAGACAGCCGATTAGTGATTCTCTCTCATCATTGATGTTTCTCTCTCTCTCTCCCTCTCCCTTCCTCTCTGAAATCAATAAAAATATATATATTTTAAAAATATCCCACTTAGCCCTCGCCAGTTTGGCTCAGTGCATAGAACATCGGCCTGTGGACTGAAGGGTCCCGGGTTTGATTCCTGGTCAGGGCACATGCTGGGGTTGTGGGCTCGATCCCCAGTGCGGGGCATGCAGGAAGCAGCCGCTCCATGGTTCTCTCTCGTCATTGATGTTTCTATCTCTCCCTTCCTCTCCCTCCCTGTCTGAAATCACTAAAAATATCAAAATGCATTTAAATCAAGGGCAGCTGTGAAAGGAACAATGGAAAAAGAAGAACTCTCGACACTTGCAGTTATTTTTAAAATGCATGCCTGTCGACTTCGGTGGGTGGGTATGAGTGTACTCGAAACTTTTAGGACATTATTGCCAAGTTGGATCATCCAGTTAATTTTGAAATTTGTTTTGAGCTCCTTTGCAGCCAGAATTACTCAGCCCTGGTTAATGTATGTAACTCACTTGTCAGATTTCAGGTGGGCAGGCTCCAAGACAGGCTGACATGGGATTTCAGTTCACACAAAATTTCATTCACGCCGCCCTGATGCAGCCCATCATGGGTGCTCAACTATCTCCATTCATATTTTTGGCATTTTGTGTGGAAATGAGAAAACCAAATTTAATAGGAATGAAAATCCCAGGGACATCACTTCTCTTACTTTAATTCCCATTTCTGCTCATGTTTTTCTAAAAATATATTTTTATTGATTTCAGAGAGGAAGGGAGAGGGAGAGCGAGACAGAAACGTCATTGATGAGAGAGAATCATGGATCGGCTGCCTCCTGCACGCCCCACACTGGGGATCCAGCCCACAACCTGGGCCTGTGCCCTGACCGGGAATCGAACCGTGACCTCCTGGTTCCTAGGTTA